TATACGTCGTGAAGTGTAATCCAGATTCAAGAAATACATTTCGAAAAATTCTCACCGTCAAATAAATTTTGTGAAGATTTTTGTTTTAGGGCACAGTTTTTCTTCTAGCTGGCTATTCTTTCATTATGCAACAGATTTTACTTCTGTTCAATTAAACTTCAGTCATGATATCTAATTCTTGAAGCAGTTCAATCCCTTACTGACCTAAATAACGATAGAAAACGGAAATTTAAAAAAAATCATTTTCAGAAGATTTTTTTTTTCTTTTCGTTTTTTTAAAATTTTTTGGCATTATATAGTTCAGTCGTAACACTCTTGAGTCCATGAGCAACAAGAGCTATCTTTGCTGTTCCTTCCAATCTGGAGTGGGAAGAAACTATGGTGTAGGGTCCGTTTTAAATTTTTTCTTTTTTTTGATTTCATGCCATTCGTCCTTTATCAACAAATTTTCGAATTCGTCGAAGTCTTTGAAACAAAATTCTCTACGAAATTTTAATTTTCCATGTTTTGTACCTGATTTTTCCATTGCTGGACAATTTTTTAAGTGTCTTGCACAAAATTCTGCCACATCTTTACATGTTTTCTTTTCTCCCCTGTTATCTCCTCTGTAACCTTGTTAAATCGTGTTTTTAATCGATTTCATTGGTTATTGTTTTATTTTGGACGTTTGGTTCGTTGACAATGAAGCTGACCCTGCAAATATTAAATTGTTATAATTAAAAACCTCGAAGTCAATTTTTTTTTGAACATCATTGCAAGTTGAGCATCTCCTACGGTGATAAGCTCTCCACTGTCAGTGTTGCCTCTAAGTTTGCATTTCTCATTCTTGAAACGAAAAGGTATCTTACACGTTCATCCTCCAACGTTACGAATTCTGACCGGGCTGCTTGTGCAATTATTGCTTCGTGGAACGCTTCTAAAGTCTTTACTGGTTGTTGAGTTTTGTTGAATATTTTAAATCTGTCGTTATTGACACTCGTTACTTTTTCAAATGCAATCTTTGCCATTTCAATTATATCTTTAAATGTTAGCTTTTATATTTCCACATGCGACTTTTGTTTGTATAAACCTCTTTTTTTCTATGCTAGGAACAGGCCTGAAACTATTTGTTTTTGTAGCTCGAAGTAATAGATGTTGTGGCAAACTTTTGGGCCTCTGGCTTGCCTTTTTTCATTTTCCTGTGAACTTCTCCAAACGCTAACCTACTCCTGCGTTCTCTTGCGGCTATTTCAAACGCATCCTCTCAGATTCATGATGATTCTGGTTTTGGTGCAGGCTCTTCCATTTCGATTTTTTGGATCTTCCAGTGGTAATTTCGGGTTGACAATTTCTTTAACTGTTACCACCATCAGGAATTGTTCTAGCCAAATAATGAAGTGCTAGGGCAGGTCTAAATTTGCAGTCGCCCAGAAGACTGATACTCCCATGTCTGTTTGGATATCTTGGCTGAAGAACTCTGCTGGCTGTGTGATACTCTAAGGAACTCTGGGTTATATAGAATAATAAGTTTACAAAATGTTTAATTCAAGTAGTTCTGAGAACGTGTATTTGTTCTCTTAGAGATTTAGCTGCTGAGTCACGCTCTTGAATAGTGAACTCTGCCAACTACGGTTGGCGGTAAGGTTAGATACAGTTTGACCTTGATCTGATAATATAATACATTCATTCTTAAAAACATAAGCATAGCATCAAGGTTATTACCTGCGCAGTACCACACCCAGAATGAACAAGAATATTGACATATCTGACCACGAATGACCGAGAATCATGATCTATCTGTTTGGGATGTTTTTTCAGTTTTCATTTCTGAAAAATTTCAATATCTGACGAGTCGCTGATAAATTCATTGTTTGAAGAAAGCAATTTGTGATTCGTTTTTCTTACATTGCAAAAAAAAAGAATTATTTTTGGGCAGTATATAAAAAAAAATCCAAAACTAGTTCTACTGTGGACAAGTTTTGTAGTCGTGATGAAAAACAACGTCACCTAAACTCCCCGTATGCAACTTTTTTTGGCATTATTTTTTTTTTCAAAAAAAATATTGCAAAAAAAAACATTGCAAAGAAAAAGAATTATTTTTGGGCAGTATATAAAAAAAATCCAAAACTAGTTCTAATGTGGACAAATTTTGTAGTCGTGATGAAAAACAACGTCACCTAAACTCCACATATGCAATTTTTGTTGGCAATATTTTTTTTCAAAAAAGTATTTGAAGTATAAAGTTAACACATCAATATATGAAATAACTGTAACCCATTCTCGCTTCTTAAGCAATTTTCGAAACGTTACAAAAATTTTCGTAGAATGGAGACTATCCATTTTATGATGGAGGCTGGTTCTTACTACAATTTTTTTACCAATAATTGTTTTACCAATTAATTTTTAGGATTATTTTAGCGATACTATTTCTCACTTTTACAGTTGGTTCACCAAGTCATTCTCTAAATAAAATCACCGGAGTTTAGCACTTTTGAATTTTTCTTTTAATTTCGTTTTTCTAATCTTGAATCTTTGCCGTCGAAATTTTGTGTGCTACTTGCATAACAACCGGTTATTCTTGTTAGCGTTTTGAATTGAATCAGCTACACAGATAAAGGGTGTCCCGAAAAGGGATTTCAACTGAATTATCTCGACAACATTTATTTTTTCTGAAGCTTTGATTGAAGATATTTTTTCTTGAAGCTTTGCAAATCAAGATGCACGTTGTTGAGAGACAAATAAAGCTTCTCTGAACTAATAAATTTCTTCTGCGATTTTTGATTCTTCAGAAAAAAATTACCAAGAAAATGTTTTCATCATTTTTTAGAGAATGTTCAGAAAACAGATTATGTAAACAGTTCGAAACATAGATGAATCATTAGATGTTTTTTGAGTTTGTTTTCCACTCTAGCTGAACAAACCTCATTCTATGCATAATTTAATTACGCGTGCTCTATTTCACCCTGTCACCTCAAAAAATTTCTTTCTTGAGCATTCTATCTTCAAGTTCCAATGCCGCCAATTCTTGTAAAGTTTATGAAAAAAATTTCGTTGTAAACTCTTAATTTCATTGAATTCCAGAGACAAAAATTGTTTAGTGCAAAATCTGGACGGCGAGAGGAAAGCCAAGTGCAACAACCCGAGAACTAGGAAGCACGATTTAGGAATTTTTGAGTGATTCGACGACTTGTCTTATCCGTTTGTTTTGCATTGGTCGAGGTTAAAAAAAACTTTGCTGCTCTATTGTAAACTGCTTCTTTAGCTTAAGCAAATGCTTCAATGAACTTGAAAAGCAAAGATTTGCTTCGACAGAACCGACAAAAAACGTATACGCTTTGGTTTGACTCGTTTTAACCAACACTTTTATCTTTTCTAAGCAAAACTGTTTTTAAGCGTAAAAACGCTAATCAATTATGTTAAACACGAGCCTGAAATTTTTTGACTGAAATGAAAAACATTCAAGAGATACATAAAAATGTTCAGCATAGTTTGAGACAGCTCAGTAATAATTACGTGTCTATTAGCTGGCAATGCTTGCTTCATTCGGAAGTAACTCACTTTTGATCGATTTGTCTGATATTTAAAAACGTATTTGGTTTAGTAAGTTTCAAAATTTGTTGTTAAAATTCGTTGTTGTTCCGACTTTCGATACCAAAGTAACGGAATATTTTTGCTCGGGGTGGGTTTTTTTTTCTTCAGACAAATTTCGACTTTTTAACTAGCCATTTTTGACGGAACTTTTTTATATCATTCGAAAGATATTGTTGTCCTGGGCTTAAATTTGAAAGATATTTCACCTGTGATCACTTTTTGTAAAGTTACGGGGGTTTAAAGCTTGCCATTTTGGCCAATTTGGGACAATTAACGGGCGATATATTTCGCGCTATTAACGCGTAAGCGGAGAATTAATCCGTCTTAGAAATCGCTCCAAATTGGTTGAAAGAAGCTTATTTGCCATAATTGATTTATTACAAGGAGCGAAATCTATCCTTTCGTTTTTATATGGCGTGTGGGGGGATGATTTTCATTTAAAAATTCAAATTTTAGAAAAAAAATTTCAGTTTGTTTTATTTCATTTAATTTCTTAAATGTTATTACTGCTCCATAAACATTAAAAGGCGGTCGGAACATTCAGGGCTTCGCCCTGATACGAGCAGTCTTGTTTAAATTTAAGAATTGAATTATTTTGTTTGAACACATTGTGATGGGAACTAACAGATCATCCTTTTGTTATGACTGTTTTCTTGTTATATTCGATTGGTTATAGCAGTAGATTTGTCATAAACTTCGATTTCTTATTTTTTAATCATTGATTTTTTGATACAAGGTAAATTCGAAGTTTTCTTGACAAATCTACCGCCAAAACATTCCACAAAAACTACAAGTTAACATAACAAGCGTGATAAATTTGTGTTCCGCGAATTTTGTTTACTGTGTTAAACCTAATTATTAACTGGATCATGAAGTGAAATTCTTTTCCTTTGGGAAATCTGGAAACTAAATTCCCCTTTCAAAGTAGATCACGTTTTTCGTCACCATTACACTTTTGCTGTTCAAAAATAGAGCTGACTTTAATTTAACAAAGGAAATTAACTTAAGAAGATATTAGCAGCCAAACAGCGACAAACTATTCATGAGCCTGAAGTAAAAATATTTCCAGCAAAAAAAAAAACATTTCAGGACCTGTATCTAAGCCTGAACTTCATTCATCGCACCTGAAAAACTTGATTGCATGTATTCGAATTTTAGTTGAAACTTTCAAATAAGAAACTATAACGCGTTCAAAATGTTTGAAATCATGAATTGTGCATAATTGACACTTCTTTCTCAAAATTATCCCATTTGGAGAAAACTGGATCAATAGGTAACTTTTAATTCTTCAGGGAATTCAGAAAACTAGAATCTATTTATTTTTCTTGCGACTTTCATACTTTTACACTACAGATTTGATGAACTTTAAAATGAATTTGAAGTGAACTAACAAAGGAATCGAAACTTACTAAAACAGTAATTTCAGCGTGTACAATTAAGTATTTTTCCTGAAACAACCACACGACCAAAACCAATGAAAGTTCATTTTTATTTTTCTAGTTGCCAAAGAGTTCAAAGGTGGAGAGAAATCGAATTGTCCAATTTTATACATTTTTTAATTTTTATTATGGGTAAAAATTACATCCAAGCCAGTGAATTAGGAGGCTAACATCTTGTTAGGCTGCAGCTATCAGATTATTGAAGCACGCTCGAATTTTTTCGCATGTTAATTTTTAATGAAAGGAAGCTTTGCAAGAAAAGCAAGCACGGTCACCAGTGAGTGATAAAATTCTGGAAATCAACTGATATTGCAATAATTCCAACATGCCAGAACTGATGAACTTGGCCAGTAACTAATTTGTCTCAAGCTAAAAGACTAACTTACGAAGAAAAAAACATTTAATCAAACCTGCCATCATTTTTTACAGAATTTACAATATTGACATGAAGATGAAGTTATGAACAGATAGCACCTAAATAATTTCACTCATTCCTGAATCAGTGCCATTCAATCAGACGACTGAGATGATAGTTTTGCTAGTTTATTTTGCCACTAAGTACTGTTCGAACACAGTTATCTTCGATTCTTTTATTGCAAGTCGCCCACAATCAATCACTTTACTCTTCTCGGTCCCCACTAAAGAGAAACAAGGATCAAATTTTTCAATTTGGAATCAATCACCGAAATATTCAAGTTTCCAGATTTGAAGAAAACATTGCAAAATAGCTAATTATTATTCCGTTGGTTGGGATTTCCAAGTTAATTCCATTTTTGAAAGTCATTCACGTTTAATAGCGCCACTTGAACTTTCATTATTGGAGAGCGTTATGTGCATTCCTTTCAGCAAATGAGTTTGAACCAAAATTAAAAAGAAATCAAAATTCAAACAGCGAAAAACTTTTAATACTTATAGCTTTAAAAAAAAACTTCGTTCATTGACACTTAACAAGGAAAACCCTAAAATAGTTCTTGTTACCTCTCAAATTGGCTGTTCTCTGGATGATCTGGTTGACCAGTTTTAGAGCAGCCATCAGGTCTGACTGGTTCTGGCAGCGTATGTTGTAGCTATTAATGAGACCTTGATTTGTAGTGTACAGCTGCGAGTATGTATTTCGCATACCTTTCCAGTCGCCTAACAGCCTCGCGTCTTCGGCCTTCACAACCATACTACGTATAAGGGTCGAGTTGTCGGCCACTTCCGCACTAAGTCGACTACGTGCTTCATATAAGTCGTCCACCTTTCGAAACAAAAAACTCCTTACTAACATTACAAAAGGCATTACAAAAAACCTCGTTAATAACATTACACCCAAGCGAGAATATAAGATTTTTTGGAAGGGCGGATTTTCTGAACAATTTCGAAATTTTGGTCGATTGTTTTTAGGTTGACTAACTTCTTAAGTAATTTTCCGGGCTGTTCTAAAATACCATTAAGATCCTAGTTTGCCAACACAATTCCTTGCCACAGACGAATATTTAAAAAAAAAAAACAGACCAGAAGACGTTCTTAGGCACTTTTTGGAAAGCTGGAAAAAACGCGTTTTTTCGGCTCGCGATCTCCCATCAAAATTAGTATGTATTGACACTGAAGGCGTCAGCAGGAAAAAATTACAGTCGGCCAGCCTCAAATTAATGTCGTATATTAGTACCAAAGGGCAGATCCTATGGTGGTGAGTGGTCCAATCCCTGAGAAGAGGCGTCCGATCCCCCCCCCCAAAAAAAATCAGCTTCTGTTACTATTGACGATTTAGCTTCTACTAATCATGAAAGTAATACATTAGCTTTAATCACATATAAGCCTTGAAAATTATTTTATAAAATCCCAGATCGAGTTTCAATTCTTAGAAAATAGACCCCGCCTTCTCCAAAAAAACCACACAAACTATACCATAGCTTTATTGTTCCGACTTCCGCAGTTAGTGACTGAATATTCGAGCTCGGTGTGTTCTTTTTCTTTTCAATCAGACTAACTCGAATTTTTGCATCATATCATTTGAAAGCTATTGATTCCCCGAACTTCATCTGCGACATTTTTTTAAAGAATAAAAATGGGGCTTTTTGAAAAGGCCAATTTGGGACAATTAGAGCGGTAAATATGTCGTTGTAATTGACGTGTAGTTAAGATAATATGGCTCAGATAGTCTGATTACTAAAGTATTAGACGCGAAATTTATCTTAGCTATTTTTTCTTGTTTTTTGAAGTGTCATCATTTTTAAATCCAAACACTATTTCATAGACTACAAATGGTAGAAGCTTCGCCCTGATACGACCAGACCAGCCTTGTTATTCATGAAATGAATTTCCGAATCATATTCTGAGTAAATTTAATTAGTTACGAATACATTTCGATCAATTTTTATGCTCGCTAGTTATATCAGCTCTCAATAGTTTCGAAACATTTGGAATACCATGCACTTTAAACCAAATAATTCACATCCATCACACTTTGATTCATGACTGAATTTTACATGAATGAATTACAGCAAAAATTGTCACTCTTTGGCTCTGGATCTCTGGTTAAAAATAGTTACTTTTATAATCAATACATGAAGAAATTAACATACCACACCATTTTGATAAGCTGATGAACAATATATTTTTTATTATAAATGTCAAAAGAGTGTCTTGCGACGAGTTAAATGACGTAATTGGCATTGTGGCAGCTATAATTGCAGCAGCAGTTCAATTGTGGTAGCTTCAACTATAAATAGCGACGAGCCGAAGAGAGACGAGCACACGACTCAAGTCGGCCGACGTCGAGCTGAACGACTAGTCTCGGCAACTTGACTAATGTAGTCTTTTTTATTGTTATGTAATATGCACAGTCCCACAGAGATTAAATGAACAAACTGTCAGGCGCTACGCGTAACTATTTTAATTAAAGAAAACTATTTTTAAGTCTTGTAAAGGGAGTGAAGCTTTAAGCTTTTCAAAATTATTTTATACGTTAACCTGAGACCATTTTTTTAAGTTGGCTAAATTGATTTTCTGAGCTCTCCCAAATCACTATAAAGACCTCTTTTTGCCAAAATTTTCCGCGCCTCAGGCAAATTTTTGAAAAAAACAGGCAGAAGGCGTTTTTTGCACTTTTAGAAATTTTCAACCAAAAAATTGCGTTTTCTCGGTGCACGCTCCCCCTCATAATTAAACTAGTGGCGTTCGAAGGAGTTTTTTTTTGAACGGCGTCGTTTGTCGCCAAACTTTCGGAGTTTTTTTTATCGAAGACATTGATTTTCCTGGCTCTCCCAATTTTTCGAGCCCTCTCAATTTTCCGAGCTCTACAGATAGACCCTAATTTGGTTGAAAAACTCTGCGCAACAAGCTAATTTTTTTCATGCTACTTCCTAGCGATGTCCATTAAAAAAATAAACTTTAAATTAAAATTGTTCAAGAAAATTATAAAAATTATTGGCATCAATTTAAATTTTTCCAAACAATTTAATTTATTTTTAGCAGTATAAATATTACAGATGTCTGTTTTTCAGCAGTTTTTTTGCAAACTTTGTGTACTTTTTGCAATTTTGAACAAAGTAATCGAAAGCAATTTTTTGGGAACGTCTACTTGCAACAACATTTCAAAATTTTGTCGTGAAGACTCAGATTGCTTGCTTTTTTATCGATGAAATCGATGCTTTTTTATCAATGAAATACAAAATAAATTGACATTAAGAAGTAAAATGTGTACTTTATCGTCGAATTGAATCTCGCACGGCCAATTTGAATTTTTTTTTAAATTTGAATTTAAATTTTTATCTTAAATTGAAATTTTTCATTTAAAATTAAACGGACTCATAATTTACGGTTCCCAAGCTTATCACCCCGTGTTTTGTAACCCCCTTTTTCTTAACCCCCTCTCATATAACCCCCAAATCAGATAACCCCACTACAATTTAACCCCTTTTTAAAACCAATTGTTAGAATCAAAGTGAAAGTTACTTGAAAAGGATTCGGAACCATATCGTCGGTAAACATCAAAGCTTTAATTGCGAAAAATTTTGCGAACCAAAATGAGTTAACACGCACGCTGCTAAATGCGTTTTAGATTTGAACAGAAATGACCTTGCCGATAGTCTAGACTTTGATATGAACTTGAAAACGAATCCGACCGACATGATTCAAACTGGTGCATATACAAAACAGTCCAAAACCATTTGAATTTCTTGACCTTGATCTTTTGGCGCCGACAGAATTGATCTACGCTTTGAAAACTCAAACATGGGCTTAATTAAGATCAAAGAGCCAAAGTTGGAAGAAATTTTCGGATGACAACCAAAGGCCTCATGGTATAATGGTTAAAACATTAGTCTCAAAATCTAGAGTTCAAAGGATCGAATCCCTGGCGGCACAATAAATTTTCCAATTTTCCCAAAAAAGTTGAATTTTGGGTCAATATGATAACGGGTATATCAAGGGTACAATAAATGGGTTAACCTTACAGGGTTGGGCGGAGGGAAAAGAAAAGTCAACACCTTGTATGTATTTATTATTTTGCCGGTTTCAAATCGACTCTAGCTCAATTTTGAAAAATCAAGGAAAATAATTAAACTTGGAAAAAATTTTATTGCTTGGCAATATAAATTAAATAGCAAATATTTAACTCAAGTTCGCCATAGCGCGAAAGAAATGCAAATCAGTTTTTTCTTCGTAAACATGCATAATATTCTGCACTTTTTCGTTGAGCACCCGGTATTTTTTCTTTTTTGTAAATTGATGCCCACTCGAGGCGTTATAGAAATTAAGTTTTTGGACGGACGCGTCTTTTTGCAAATTTGCAATCACTTTCCAAATACTGGGATGCGATCCACTGAAGTATGACTGTATGCCATAATGCCAGCCCTCTACAGCATTTGTTGTTCTGGCCAAACCCGATGATGCCGCATCCCTTTGATTCCATAATGAAGGGGGGAATAGGGCTTCCCGATTCGGGACGAGACTTTTTATGTAGTTAGATCCAAAATAAAGGCAAAGCTCGTCAACTTTCGCTATTTTTTCCGACTCTTTTATGGTGCGATCGCAAACTATTTGAATTTCCTCCACTATTTTATCGTATGAATTTCCTATTTCTTCTTCTTTTTCGAAAGCCAGTGCGGGTAACATTTTGAGTGCTAAAGCGAACTCGTGGTTAGTTTCGTAATCCTTTTTCAATCCGAGCTCCCCGATTTTTCTCATAAAACTTTGTGAAAGATGGAAGAAACATCCCGACAGCTTGGTCTCGGGAAAATTTTTCTGAAACGCTTGAATAGCGGCCTGCTCAAAATCCAGTAAAATTTTTTCAGGTCTACTATCAGGGACTTCTTCTCGTTGCTTGCGCGCTCGTTGTGCGGTGCGAACTAAATTTTCTTTGGATGGTAGGGCTAGTTGAGTGGCAATGTTGTCTGTAATTGGCTGAATGGCGGTTGCGACTGCGACGGTTGGGGTGTTACTATCGCTTAGCTCCTTGATGTTTTTCAAAACTAGTCGAGCATCAGGTTTGCCCGTGGAAATATCGTGATTATGTTGACCCCTTGTTTCAATAAAATTTTCTCCTTCCGTAATTGCTGTTGCGCGGCATTTATGGGTTTGGTACTTTGCGCAGTTCCAATTTGTTGTTGTTTTGTTTTTTCGTTTAAGGTAATACTCGTGGCCTGATACCACTAGCATTTGTTTATCTTTCGAAGATAAAGTAAAATGGAATGACGCTTCAAACATTATATCTGATCTGATAGAGTGGTATAACAATGGTTAAAGAAATAGGCAGTATGATTTTTTATAAAACTCACAAACGTCTTTTGTTGCCTTCAATTAGCACCATGTAGGTTATCTCTGTTTTAAACGCGTGAATGAGGGATTATTTCTCTAACTAATCGAAATGCAATTACTTTTGAGATGCTAGAGGCATCAAGTGAATTAAGACTAGCTTTTCAGGCCTCAATTAGTAAGCTTAATTGGACTACTCCTGTACTTATAAAAAGGACTTAATTTGGAACAAATTATCGTCATTAAAAGGGGGTTAAATTGTTGTGGGGTTATCATGTTACGGGGTTATGATATAGGGGGTATAAACAGAGGGGGTTAAATATCGTAGGGTTAAAGAGTGGGACACCATAATTTACACTTCAATCAATTTCAATTCAAATGAAATTTTAAATTGATTTTTTAAATGGACATCACTGCTCCTACCTCTAATTTACTGACTATAGGCCTCTTAAATTAAGCCAATGGGCACCCTTTGGAAAACCTTGTCAACCAGAACTGAGGTAGGTGGGGTGGGGTGAGGTCAAGGTCCTATTCTTTTTCCACTCTAGTGCATACAACTAATAATATCATAAATGTCATGGTACAACTAAGGCCAGAAAAAGAGGAGGCAAGGTATATCGTATGCGGCCATCCTTTACAAGTTAGTTGCATCACTAATCCAACCTGTTGAACTAGGTGTTTCAGATTGTACAGCACGTGAGGAAAGTGTGCCTCGCACTGGATGTCGCCGGACACAGAGATGAACTCGAACAGCGACTGCACCAAGTCCCCTGCTAGCTCTATGTCGTCAGTTCGGAACGTCACCTAGATGAAAAACGGGGAACAACAAGTAAGTTGTCTGTGATATTGAAAAAATATATATATGGCTGAGCGGGCAAATGTAGCACAAAGTTTAAAACAATTTTGTGTGCAGGGTAAAAACTGGGTGTATTATAATCCTGTAAATACAATGAAGTTTTCTATATACCGTTTTTATGGGGATTTTTGTTGATGGTGTTTAATTATTGTAAAAACTGGATACCACAGGTCCCACGTGATTGATTTATCGTTTTTCTTGGTGGCCAGTCAATAAGAAGAATGGTCTAAGAGCAGAATGGGTCCAAGAGCAGAAAAACAAAAAAATATATCAAATTTTATAATCTAATCGATAAATTAAGCATAAGAGTTTTCAGTATTACCGAAGAAGCAATAGTTTATGCATATTTTTTAAAATTCAATTTGAAAAAACTTGATAAAATGATTCAATTCATGCATATTTTTTTTCATTTTCTTGGTATTATTGACGATTATAATAATTGTTTTATCAATTAGCCCGTATAAATCATTAAAAGTTAATATTTTTCTGTTTTTCTGCTCTTGGACCCATTCTGCTCTTAGACCATTCTGCTTTTTGCTCCGACTCCGCTTTTCTTTTACTTTCCAAACTCTGATATGCAAAACTATTAGCTCTAAATTGTTCGAAATCTTGAGATCAATCGATTAAATGGGTACTTTTCTGCAAAAAATGGATACTTTTAAAATACACTCAATCTCATTTAGAGTTTCGATTGCTATACTTAGGCACCCAAAATTCTGTTCATTATCAGAAATTAACTTGTTGTTCTATGTTTCCATCCATTAACAAATCTTTGGTTCTGAATGTCAAACAGCTTTATGACGTTGTATTTAGTAGAAGGGAACTCGAAAGCTTAAAAAATATGTAATTTTTGTTTCCAATAGTTCATGAAGTTTTTGAATTTCTATCCGAATATCATAATCTGCAAATCCAAATATGAAACTTTGGTGCATATTTTCAGCACAATCAGGAGACAGTTGAAAACAAGTTCATGAACTGAAGGAAAACTGATAACTTTTTGCAACTTCCGAATCTAATAGCACAAAATACACACCACAGCCTGTTCTGTCAATGTCATTAAATTTTTATGATTAATAGGTTTTTAATTAAAGAGCTTGGGATATCCACTACTCAGAGTCCACTTTTAAAAATCCCCCAAACTTGATTAAAAGTTATTGGTAAAAAGTATTTGCAGAAGTGACTAAAAGCTTCAAACAAGTTTTTGCAGCAGAAAAAATGTCAAAATAAGTCCAACAAACCAATCAAATTAGCTTCTATCACATAGCTCTTAGTCTACTTATTTTCAATAACTACCTTCCATATTGCACATGAAGAGTTATCTGACGCCTTGCGAGCGATTTCACTGTTTCGATTTACAGAATTCGAGAAAGGGCCAACAAATACGTCCATTTGCTGAAAAAATTTGATAAATTGAACTATATCGAGAAAAGTACATGCAAATCTCTATTGATATCAACGGTGTCAAATAAAAAAACGACAGCTGCTATTTCGACAAAAAGTCGCTCGAGACCTTTTAATCTGCAGAATGGTTTCAATTCTATAACTTTGAACGAAACCTTATCAATTCAAATTTTTATCAAATGTGAGCTCAGATAGTTTGAGAACACAAATTTAATTCTGGATATTTCAACTTATTGAATACTCGAAAAAACTTTGATTGAAATGAATGCATTTAAATTTTAAAACATGATTTGAATATATTTTTCTGCAAATTGCAAAAATTTTGTCAAGCAGTTTTCATGTCATTTTGATTATAATGAAGAAAAAAAATTATCGTCGCCAGATGTCTTGGTTTCTGATTTAACTAGGAACGCTGTTAATGTTTCAAAGCAAGAAATTTATTCGCCAGGTCGGGTTATTTTTTTTGATAAAACAAACATGTTAAAAACAACCTCCAAGTTAATTTTCTGGTTTGATTTTTTTTGTTTATATTTGTGTCTTGTATACCTTCCAAATTGCACATGAGGAATTATCTGAGCCCTGGCGAATAAATTTCCCCCTGTTATTCGCAGATGAGAAATTGGTGGAGTCTACGGGCTTCTGAGACTGCTGCAGGTTCTGCAAACCAATTTAGGCTTTAATTACGCTCAGCAGAGCTCACTTAAAAAAACTTAGTTTTCCAGACATCCATTTTTCTCTTGAAAAAATGAAAAAGTATAAAGCCCATTTGGCTTTTCACATTTTGCAGGTAGTACAATCACAACATGTTCAACAAACTATATTTTAAACTATACTATACAAAATTCTGAGACTTGAAACTTAAAACTTTGACGGTGGCGGATTCGCTCAACCAGGGGATTTAGGGTCCCTGTCCTCGCATCTGCGATACGAGCCTTAGATAATTTACTAACACAAGCCACAAATAAAGCAGCTACATATGCAAACAAATTGCCAGTGCCATGCAGCAAAGTCGCACCAATTAAAAATAGACACAAGTTTCATGTAATAATTTGGAATGCAACAAACTGAAGGCAATTACACTAACTTAACATGTAATAAATTGGAAAGCATAAAACCAAATTATGTATAAATGATGCATTTCGAAAAAAAGCGATTTTTAGGGAGTTAGAAAATTTTTGAAATCGAGTTTTTAATATTGAAGTGTTGTTTGAAACCAAGTTTTTTTTTCATTTCATTTGAAAAACAAAATGCATCAACTGTGTTAACTTATTACTAATCGAATTTCAAAGCACATGCTGAAAAAAAAGCTGCACGTGTGCTACCAAAAGGGGCACCAACATTTGCGACTTAGATTAAAAAACAGAAGTCGTACTACAGCTCGCAAGTGTAAAAAGGAAATTATCTGATTTTGCTAAGAAAACCTGGATTTGAATACAATACTTGCTAGGAATTCAAGTAGAATTAACATGGTGCAATTTGTTTAGCATAACTCGGGCCCAAAATTTTCCTTCAAAAAGGGACTATATATGGAATTTTTATTCAACTAAAAATGTCGCCAAAAACTACCGCGTCAATTAATCACGCGGTGGTTTTTGGCGACATCAATTATGGCAAATAAGCTATAAAAAGATAAATTTCGTTTCTAGTAACAAATCAATTACCGCGTCAATGTACAGTAAAGTATAAAAAGATAAACCGCGTCAATATACAATAAAGTATAAAAAGATAAATTTCGCTTCTAGTAACAAATCAATTACGGCAAATAAGCTTCCTTGAACCAATTTGGAACAATTTCTTTGACGGATTGAATCTCCGCTTTTGCGTTAATAACGCGAAATATATCGCGCGTTAATTGTCCCAAACCGGCAATTTTTAAACCCTCATAACTTCACGAAAAACAATCACAAGTGAAATATCATTCCAAATTTAAGCTCAGGACATCACTTTTTGAACGAGATAAAAAAAATCCCGTCAAAAATGGCTAGTTAAAAAGTCGAAATTTGTCTGAAGAAAAAAAACCACCCCGAGTACAAATATTCCGTTACTTTCGTTACGAAAGTCGGAACAATACTAGTCTGTGTGTTAAAATCCTTAGCATTGGTTATTGATCAAAATGAACACTTTCAAAATGAACACATTTTATCTCAACAATATTTGCGACTTAGTCTGGAAAAAAAAATAGTTCAAACTATAACACAAGCATTGCTTGTGCAATAACAGGAACTGTCAGTGACCTGAGTCCAACCGGAAAAAAGGGGACTTACACTGGCGGCCATTCTCTGGGGCATACATGCGATGGACAGGTGTTCGCCTGTGCGCAGATAGGTGAAGGAGACATTCATCTCTGCTGAATCTTCGGGTGGTTTCTCCTCCAGAAGAAACACCATATTCAGCCACATGAATATCTAAGCACACACGCTATCACCTTCACTTTTCATTAATTTTTCACATGATAGTCGAGTTGTGGTGCATCGGTAGTGATGGTGCCCAGCAATCATATGATTGCGGGTTCAAATCGCACGTGCGCTGCAATTTACAAGGTGAGCTCTTCTAAGATAGCCATAGTTTAGTTAACCTTAAATAATTAACCTCTCGCTCATGCCTACCAGAGGCCTTAGCGGGAGGTTAATTATTTAACGTTAACTAAAAAAAAACATTCCGAGGTTAGAAACTACTTGTTTGTTTATTTATTTATTTGAGCTCCGAATCATAATTGTTCAAACCAACAACATCCAACATAAGGTGAAACCGTTCTTGGTATAACTAGACACGTTGAAATATTTTAGTTCCTAAATTTTTTAGTCTGTTTTTATTTATATTAGGCAATGATTAGATGAAAATTACGCAACCGTTTTCAGCTTAAATTTCAAAATACTTCACGTGGCTTCTTGCGATTGAATGTAATCGAGCAAAGAGATCTCGCCAAAAGTAAGTGCAGCTTAAAAGTTAATTCTTTCGTACCAAACAGAGGTGTGCGCAGACTTTTATTAAATTACTCGATTAATTTGATTTTTCGAGCTATCACAAAAGATGTTTTTCCAAGCTCGCCGTTTTTGAGCATTTTAGATTTCAAAAATTGATGTAAAGAAAAAATGTGGCAACCGAAACTGAGTCCCCCTCCCTGGAACGCTACTGTTGACGACTCGCTGCACTATTGTTGGGTCTTTCCCATTATGGCCTGTTCAGAGCAAATTATAGTCCTCCCTCATAATAGTAAAATCACATTGTAGGGTTTTTTGTTACTATACTGGGGGATGATATAAGGGGCAAGACACCTGTTTTTGGCTCTTTTCCATTTCCCCAATAAAATTGAACTTAAACTTTATCGAGCTAGTTTAACGTTGTCATCAGGGATGTTCAAAAATTAATTGCAATTAATTTTTTGAGTTTTTTTCCAAGGCAATCAATAAATTGCAATTCGCTGTAAAATATGAAGAATAAATGTGTTCAGAATAATTAGTTTGTTCGCCACGCCAAGTTTCGATACATTATGACAACCAGAGTTGTTCAAAAATTAATGCGGGGCGGGGAAATTAATTGCAATTATTGGGATGTAATTAATTGACTGCGGTATTTTTCTAAACCCATTAATTGATGGTAAAGCAAGCATTTAATTGGTCAACAGCCGACTATGGGGCAAAAAGACACGGAATTTTGTTATAAATTATATAAAACATTTCTCATATAAAACATTTTTTCAAGAAAACAATTCAATGTTCTGCATTTTGAGGATAATTTATAACAAAATTCCGTGTCTTTTGCCCCATAGTAGGCTGTTGACCAATTAATTGCTTGCTTTACCATCAATTAATGGGTTTAGAAAAATACCGCAGTCAATTAATTACATCCCATTAATTGCAATTAATTCCCCCCCCCCCCATTAATTTTTGAATACCCCTGGTTGTCATAATGTATCGAAACTTGGCGTGGCGAACAAACTAATTATTCTGAACACATTTATTCTTCATATTTTACAGCGAAATATAACGCATTTAGCCATAATAGCATGTTAAAAATACTAAAATGGAAATTGAAATAAAGGGGTGGAAAAGAGCCCCTATTTTTTAAAACTGAATGAAGAAGCGTTGTGCTTACCCTGTTGATTCGCTCGTTGATGACGAACGAGACATAGCAGGAGGGCAAATTGTCTGCCGGTAGACTCTTCTCGTGACGCAAGAACATGCTGAACTTGGGCAGTTGTTTAGACAGTTCGAACACGTGCAAGTAGTTGCTACAACAGAGCAAAGCAGAAATCATAATTAAGCAACTTATTGACACAGAAAGACAATAGTTAAAACTGAGATTTCAAATAAGATCAGTTATGAATATAGCATACCTTTTCAGACGACAATTTCTATGAACAAATTTATATATTTCTCAATAAGTTAATAACTTCTTAATTAAAGTTCCTATTTGCTCCTCGATAACTAGTAGTTAATCAGTCTCTGGAACTCTTTTCAACTATTTTAGCAACTCATAATTATAGCAACGCGAGCTTCGATAATATATTCGGACCATGTGAACAATCTGCCTAAACTGACCAAAGGAACTATCACTCCCACCTTTTTCGAAATAAAAGACAATTTTATGCCGAAGCTAACTTGAAAACTAAATTTTGATAGGCTGAAAAAAGATGATCTTAAGGAAATTAGAGATCTTCTCCCTAAATTTGGAGAAGATCTCTAATTGGTCCACACCTTCTTCAAGGGTTCCACTACTAACTGACCTTGTCTTGTGTCCCACGAATATCTTCATGTGCAGGTCCAAGAGCGAGTTGGTCAGAGGTCGCAGAGGAACAACCACATCATCATCCGAGCTACCACTGTTGCCAGGATGTCTGCAACAAAAACTCACTAGTTTCAGCCCATCCAACAACTTTTTTCGTCAACAGAGCGTTCTGGTCAAACAACTAGTGCTCATTTGATGTCAAGAGGAAAATTTTGATAGAAGTACAATCTGTATGCTTCGAAGAAACCATTAGTTGTATCATACTTAGTGGTTGGTCATATTCTCAAATGATTAAAAATAATTTCAACTTTTCAATTTGAATTCAGAATTTTTTTCGTCTGTCAAGTTTTTCCGCTACTTACGCCACGTGACTCTCTCCCGGGAATATTCCCTCAGCGAACACGACCACAGCCTTGATCACTGTCTCATTACTGGTACGCACTATCAACTGCACACAGGACTGAAACAAAATAGCTGTAATGATTTCCTGTGAACGATATATTTGTGAATGATATATTTGTGATGATTTACACGACGGGGCGGATCTAAGATTTTCTTGAGGGGGGCGGATTTTCAAACAATTTTCCAAAATTTTGTCGACTTTTTTAGGCCGCCCAAATTGATTTTCGAGCGCTCCCAGATTACTAGAAAAAGACCCTGTTATGACCCAGTTTTTTGCGCCGCGGTCAATTGTTTGAAACAACAGGTGAAAAAGGTCATTTGGGGGCACTTTTTGGAAATTTTTGTTTGTTCGGCGCGCGCTGCCCTTGAAAATTAGAATATCATGGCGCCGGGACGGCTGTATTTTGATCAGTTATATCTGGAAACTTTAAAAACATGATCAACATCTATCAAGATTTGAAATGTTTAAAATAAATGTTAATGTCGCTTCTCTAGCTTATGGTAGTACACTACTGTTCCGATTTTTGAAGAAAGTTACGGAATACGAGCAGCCTTGTTATCATTATAAGATTTGCTTAGAAACGTTACCGGAACTTCAGGATGATCGGACATTCTGGGAACCATCTCCACTTTCACCTCCGTGTCAGTCTAAACAAGGTAAGCAAAGTGACATACAGTTACACGCAAAATTACCTCTCAACAGTTCAGTTTTGGTATCAAAAACAACTCACAGGAATTGCTCCGATCTCACTGGCCACGTATTCTCCTGCTTTTATCTTGGCAGCAGTCTAAAAAGAAAAAGAAAGATAGGATTCTAATTGTGCTTGCTCATCTAAATATAAAATCTCTCTCCTAATTTTCATCTGATACAAATGACGACCAGCAGAAATAGTCCTTACCAGAAATAACCAAGCTTCGAGTAGTGTAGTGTTTTATCAATGACTCGCGTAAACTATATTAAATCCTCCAGTTTTTACAACTGATCTGATAATTAGACATGAACTCAATGATTATTTTCAAACATGCAGTTTCCAATCAGTTTGACGTCCTTTTAAAAGCAAAGAAGGATGAAAACCGTTCGGCATTTGCAAGGAAAAAAATGTTTTTTTTTGTTCTAGTTCACTTTCTGACCTGTCTGCTCATTTCGACGTTCTTCATCTCCATCTCCATGTTTTGTTTCTTCTGCGTCAGACTCCTCACCTGCTCCTGACCTCCACTGCCGCCAGTGAGGAGAACCCGCTCGCCCAGCTCCGAAGAGACAAACCCACGCACTACACACACCAGCAAACAACATAATAAGCATACATTATGCAACTACGAGTGCATCAAGACAATAAGCTCTGATAACTAATATTCTTCAAGAGCTTCAAAGACTTTCAACAGCTACTTTTCTTGTGAACCTTCAACGAGAACTCAAACTCACCGTCTCCTTCGATAGTACAGCATACCAGTTCCTGACGACCGCTTCCAGTATAGTCACCCTAAAACAGAACATCGTTAAAAACGGTTAGCGATTACAGTAGTTGGTCCAGATCTTTTTCAAATTAACACGGTTTCACGATCAACAAGCGGCCCACTTGACACACCAATTAATTCTATAGACAGAAACCTTTAAGAACCGGTGCTAAATCCCGAAAATTGCAGAGAATAGTATTGAAAGCTCCAAAAATACAAACAAAAACTCGAACGCCCAGTATTAATAGCATGGAAGGTACGGAGGGGTCCCAGTGTCATCCGCATCCTTAAGGTGGGACCGGCTAACTTAAATAGACAGCATAAATCTCCCCCACGAAAATAAAGCCATTGATAGTAAGGAGAGAGTAGGGCCGAGGGCAAATAAAAAAGGATCGAATAAAATAAATGTACCACCACTAGTCCTGCACATGCGGCTGGCAGGGTGTCCTTGAACACCACTTCGCCCGACTGTGAGTCCCTGACATCCATCTTGCCAGAACTCCACCCGGCCACTAGCTCCAGCTGTCCGTCCCCGTTCACATCAAACGCAACCAGACTCAGAGCCATATTCTTAGACTATGACGAACAAAGAGAAATTATTTCTCCAAAAATAATAACAACTATCAAAGTTTATGACTTAAAAAGAATAGATGTAGAAGAAAAAATTAATTCGCTGACTGAAGTCATGGCAATACATTTGCTAACTTTTCTTTGAACAACTAGCAAAAATTGTGAATAAAAAATAACGACTATCGAAATTCATAACTCGTGGATAAACAAAAAGGGCATTGAGTACACACTAAGGACCTACCCTTTTATCATCGCTATGTTTGCATGAAAATTCACGCAAAGTTCGAGTAAAAGAATCAAATTTAACAATGCCCAACCAACCCTCAACGTGAAACAGGATGGAAAAATTGATTCGGTACTAGGTACCACAATGCGAATTGTTAACTAAGGTCACATAAATCATGTTATTTTCTTCATCGGAAAACTTCAGAGCTTCTAAATAATTTCATACACAAAATATAGGAATAAATAGATTTAATTAATCTTTTCGAATGTATTAGTAAGGTAACCTTGATTCTCCACAAGCGTGTGTTTTTCTCATAAACTCCCACAGTTCCATTTTCCAGACTGTATCCAAACTTCGAGCCAGATATGTATGTCAAGCAGGATACCACCTGGAACAAATGTCCACCTTCGTTTTAAAACGATGCCTTAGAACAAGGTTACATTATGCCTTTACTGATCACAGCGAAATTTATCTTACTCATTGCTACTATATGATCTCTTACTACGTCTTAAATATCTATTAAACAAAAAGTTTCAGACGGAAGAAAATCACTACGAAGAACTTCCCCGTAGCATCTGACGAGAATAATTTTTGTTAAGGAAATTCTTTCTAGTAATTTTCATGTGGCTAAAACATTTTGCATTATAAGTATTCGAGACGTACATAGAGATTATATGGTTTCAATGAATAATTTTTGAGATATGATTAAACTGACCGCAGTTTCCTTCATCTCCATCACAATTTCGTCGTCTTCGAATATGCGGATGTCGTAGTCTTCTGAACCCACTATCAGTTGATTCCTCCCATTCTGCAGCACTGGACACAGAATCATCGCCGTCACACTGTCTCCCGTAATCTAAGCAAGAAAAAAAATAATCGAGCTGGCCGCTATCTTTTTTTAAGAAACTATCATAGAATCATAAAACAGAACCCATTACCCCCCCCCCCACACACACACACATTTCAAAAGTGTTACCGGTTATTATGTCTGAAAGCGTGATCTTACGAAAAGTATGCAGAAAAAACCTGAGCACAATCGTGAGTTTGTTCAGCATACGTTTCATTCTATTGTGACAATTTTAAATTAGTTTATGTTCGGAACATGATTACGGGGAGGAACTTTGGATTCGGGTGTGTTATAGTTTTTCTTTGTTTTGTTTTCCACGCAAAATCAGCTATCACAAACAATCATCGTAAAGGGTTGAGTGATGTATTAAAGCCTTTTCAGTCGTGATTCGAACATTAAATAATTTCAAATTTTGAAATTTTTTCTATTTTTTTTTTCGTTTTTCCAGTCATTTTTTTTTCAAAAACTGTTTTCAAATTGAATTATTTTACTATGACTCTCAAATAGTTTAATTTTTTCGTTCAGATTTTTTAATCACAACATGCTAAAAACGACACCAATTTGAGAAATTATTTTTGTATTTTTTAAGACTGTGGTCGGAACATTCTATACTACTTGAAAAACAGAAAAGATGCTCAAAAAACAATTTTCCCTCTAGCAGGGAAACCTAAACAAAACTACTTTCGAAACAAAAAGTTAATCAAGTTGTTTGAGCCATTTTCACGTTCGTTATTGAGGAGCGTAATTTGAGCTGCACCTGGAAAATGAAATGAAAAAATAAGCTAGATCATGAATCACACTTGCTAATCATACAGAAAAAACGGAAGCAGCAAGCATCAAAATAATGGCGAACAAAACAAAGATAGTCGGTTGCTGGCCAAATTGTACAGAAAATTTTAACCACAAAAATTTTTAAAAAATAATTTCAAGGCTTAGCTCAAATAATCACGGGGAGAGCGAGCCAAAAACACGCAATAAATTTGGTCGAAAATTCCAAAAACAGCACTGCTGATCTGTTTAATCAAAAGTTTGCCTGCCGCGTCTTTGGTGATTTGGGAGAGGTCGCTAAATCAACTTTGTCGACGAAAAAAATGTCGACAAATATTTCGAATTTTTTTAGAAAATCAATCCCCCTTCGAGAAAATCCTAGATTTGCTCAAAAAAACTACTACTAATGCGTCTATTGTCCGTTTTCCCACTGTGGCGGTGTTGGACATTCAGAAAGCGCGTAAGCAATGGTTAAGATGAGGGCATTCTCAATAGCATTCGAGCTATTAAATGGATGGTAACACTTTTTTCTTTCTGAACGAAAGGTCATTATAATTAAATTAATTCAAGAAACTCAATTAGATCTATAAGGTTCGTCATAAATTTCATTCTCATCAATTTCGGTGCCCCGATGTTAGTTTGAAAATATAAAAAACACTTTAAAACGGGCTTCATTTTTTCAGCTTAACCTACTTTGCATTTTTAACGGTTTATGCAAATTTAAGCAATGGCCTACCTCGCCATGTTTCGTCGCTCACATACATTTTTGACATAGTTCTTCCTTTATTGCTTTCAATATAACTCATTATTTCAAGAACCCGCCTGCTTTTTAAGGGTTGCAACTTGAAAATGATGAAAATGATGAGATGCCCAAACCCGTTTAAAGATATGCATGTTGTTATCAAAAAAATCTATATTTTATTTTTCTATTGTACATTTAATTCCTGATTTCACTATCTTGCCTTATTCATGTTTTTTTGTGAAATTTTATTAATAGAACATGAAACGCCTTAAATCCCAATCATTGCACGATAAATATGCAAAAATACTTTCCTATATTTTCATTTAATTTATAAAACTTCAGTTTTTCGTAGAAATTTCTGTATATCAAACACAGCTGGCAGTCCGTTGAGCACTTCGGTAGCGCTATAATGCAACTGAAAACCTCATACTTCCAAGAAATACAATTTTTTTTAAAGATTCTTCAAATTTTCAGATTCATAAAACATTACAATAATACCAAAAAAAAACATATATATCACATAATATGATATATCACTCAAATCTCTCCTATGATTATTTGTGGTAGCTATTTTGCATGGAAAATAAAAAAACTATAACACACCCGAATACAAAGTTCCTCCCCATTTTTCAAATGGTCGGTTATAAACATAAAAGATAAAAGATAGATTCCAATAAATAAATTAAAACACAAGAAACCAATCTTAGGTCAAACATTAATCAACAAAGAGATATTAGCTCTTAATATTTATTAAATCTAAAGCAAGAGACGTGCATATGAGTCATAAATAACTTTCCCACGTCGAAAATCAGCAGTTAGCCGGTACGTCAAACTTCACAACTTCGTCGTCAATAACATATGCCGAGATATGTTTTGGCTTTGCATTCTTTTGGTACGACTCTTGTACATTACATCTCATGTTCAGTTCCTTATTTCTGCTACCGATTTCCTCAGCTGCGTACAACTGATTGCTGGCCAGTTTTTGGGATGAGTTTTTTCTATTAGTCGAGTAAATAGAGTTAATTTCACTTCTCTCTCTTTTCGCTTCCAGGTGTCTTCTATAATGACAACTGCAGACATTTCTCGCAATTTGATTCCTTCCGAGAGCTTCTAGTTCTTCTTCCGAAAACCGAGTCGGATCGTCGGTCGATTCTCCCTGGGAAAATAATTCAGACTCTTTGATCCAGCGTTGTCGGCCGCACTCTTTACATTGTCTTCTCTTCGGACCATCGAGCCAGTCCAAAAATTTTACATACGTTACAGCTAATCCGGTGTAGACTCCAACGACTCCTGCGAGCTCCAAAAATGGCATTTTTGTAGAGTAGAAATTCGAATTTCAAGGAATAAAAATTTTTAACTGAGGTATAATTTTCTGTCGTCTAGAATTAAAAGATGATATTTGCCTAATAACGCGTTTAAATGAAGAATTAAGAAGTATTTTACTATACTAGAAAAATTTAGTGAGACAATGTATTGCGCTGTACGATACAATATTTACTTTTTCTTCGATAATATTGTTATATAAGTGTCAGAATAGCGCCAACATTTGTGAATTTAAGCCACCAAATACACCAAGAAAATGGTCATAAATTTGAAGAGCAGATTGTTGCTATCTTGTTTATAAGTTTGTGGTCGGAATCAAGTTTAACTTTCTTACCAACTGATAACTAGAATCCAATTGTGAATGCCACTAATGACTGTTCTAAAATATCTAATCGTTAGAAAACATCGCTAATTAGAGTCCAAATGATCCCAAATTGCTTTTCGACCCGACCGTTCAGTCCACCTCTATCACTTATAATTATCTTAGTGAGACAATTAAGGCGTTAAATTGACAATAGAGGGAATTAAGATCTTAAGAGTGAAATATTACCGGATTAACACCGGAGTTTTGTCTTAATCAAGTAAAAAAGCCTCAATTTCAAAATTAAACTGAATCTAACGTAGCAGTGTAATAACATCGACGTGAACAAAATTTAGCAATAAAAATATGAACAAATTACTTAACCATTACTTGATCATATATTTTTTGACTTCAGCTTTTTTTCTTTGAAACGTCCATTTGACGACTATCAAACCATCAAACAATAAAAATAGGGACACAAAATTGAATTGTTTTAATTTCCGGGTCCGGACATCAAGCCGACGGGACTTCAGCCCGAATCGTAAAATTAAGGCTTCAGCCAAAATTTTCTAATTAAGATTAATTTCTAAACGTTTTTGAAGAACTTCTCAATTTCATGATCTTCCTTCAGTAGTTATTGGCGTTTTCATATAATTTAAGCTTCCAAATGATGTTAAGGAAAGTTGAAAAATGAAACAAGGTTGAAGGTAATTTTCTTGTTTATAATTTATGCATTTCAAAAGCCGGCTGATATTATTAACGGATGCCAATCCTAAGTTATTCATTGTCATGAATAACGCTAATTATGGACCAAATTTGCCTAAATTGATAAAAATCAACGTTTTACAGATGAAAAAATAGTGATTTGAGGTGCTTGTTATGTTCAAATTTCGGCCTGAAGTCCCTTCGGCTTGAAGTCTCATCGGCTTGTTGTCCTAGACCCTTAATTTCCTTTCAATTTTCCATGCTTTCAGAAAATTCCGGTTCCATCACCTAAATTGGTTTACTTTAGCCTGAATTCAAGCATTTTCAATTCAAGTATCTTCGAATTCAAGCAAAATAATCCCTAAATGAAATTGTTTCCGACTTCAAATCTAAATCAACAATTGGTGATGCGACCTTTGTTTTTTTAAAGAAATTTAGAGTAGAAGGCTTGAAATATAACAATTATAATACAAAAATTAAGGATCTCAGGGAGCGCGGAATTAGTTAGATCCAAAATTGAAAAATCTGCTTAACTTATTGCAATTGCGGCGTGTTTTCTAAATGCCTCCGAATGTGAATGCTGCAGATCTAGAGATCTATAAAGTCATCTACCCCGATAATAGGCTTCATGATTTATCTTGAAACAACAACCGGCATAAGAAACACTGGGTTTGAATCACTGCTTCAATAGTACACTAATAGCATGAAAAGGCTTCAAAAAATTAGTTTTGACACGAAGTAGAAGAAAGAGATCTCAGTTTTCCGGAAAAGAAACGTTTTCGATTTTCATTACTCAATAAATTGAACTACTGCATATTTTTGAGAGTACAAATCAACATAAATTGCAAGGTTAATATTCATTTAAGAAATTCTGTTTCATATAAAATGAACTAAACTTGAATAAATTAAAACTTTTACATTTGAGATAACTGAAACACAAGCTAAAAGCACCAAAATAAATGGAAGAGCTTTTAAAAATTATTTGCTTCCTTCATAATTTGAATTTTTGGCTCTTTTCCAGTCCCCCCCTTCAAATTTAATTTTGAAAAGCTTATATAACATTGTCATATTGCAATGAAATTTGGCGTGGTGAACAAATCGACAATTGTGAACAAATTTGTTCTTCATACTTTACAGCGTAACATCACGCATTTAGCCGTAATAACACGT